GAAAAGGAAAAATAATGAAGAAGAGGAAAGAAAAATAAGAAAACAATTCGAAAAAAATAAAAAACTTAGATAAAAGAAAAGGAAAATAAAACAAAGAAATACAAGTAATAATAGATGAAGAAAAATATGAAAAAGAATAAACAAACGAATAAAGTTTAAAATATGCATGTAATGTTTAAAAAAACAATCATTCATGTTTATTTTTATAAACAATAAATCGTGTTATTTAGATTCCAAAATTTATCTATTTCTCTAAAACGTTTCATACCCGCACACGGTGCGGGTTAATTATCTAGTATAATTATATAAGTTAGAAAATTCACAATTACTTTGATGAAAATTTAAACATTTCAATTATCGGCCATTGTTTCACTTGGAACTAATGGGCCGATTTCATGGGCCCATTAAAATATTTTTATTCTTTCCATTTGAACACAAAATGAAGTGATCGTTTTGGTCACACGAACAGAGAATCCATGGCGACTCGCTCCCTCTTCCACAGTCTTAGATGGTAACCTCATCTCCGTCGTCTCAATCTCTTCTCTCTTTGTTTTCTCACTGCTTTCGTGTTTCGGGTTCCGAGAAAATTGATTCGCTATTCTTATAGTTTTTCTTTTTGATCCAGTCGATTGACGAATGTTGCTGTCGAAAACAATTCAATTCGTAACGCCGAATCGTCGCGATTCTCGAAGTTTTATAGTGCTGATGCGGCAATCGGAGGCTCGCTTGTCGAGGAATCGAATATTTCAGATGCTGATTATGCGTCGCGCATTGATCTGATTTCAAAAGTTTTCGGTATCGATGCAGCTGAACGTTACTTTGAGGGTCTGAGTCTAGCTTCAAAGACTCCTGAGACCTATACTTCTCTGCTTCATGCGTATGCTGGCTCCAAACAAACCGAACGAGCAGAGGCCTTGTTCGATAGAATCATAGAGACCGATAATCTTAGTTTTGGTGCCATCACATACAACGAGATGATGACTCTATACATGTCAGTCGGCAAGTTGAGAAAATGCCCGAGGTTATCGAAATGCAAAAGCGTAAAAAGGTTTCTCCGGATATTTTTACTTGCAAGCAACCTTTAACATAGATGAGCTCATAAAGATTCTTGAAGATTACATGATGTATACATGATTCATATCAATAAAAGCAACAAACATACATGGGTTGCATCACAATAAGACTCACAAGTCCATTAACATCACATTATTCGTTCACATGCATGGTTATGTAACTCAACAAGACTCGCAAGTTCACAACCAACTAAATATAGAGTTCCTAAATATATATTCGAAGTTAGATATACATTAATTTTGTTTATCGCTTTTATTTAAATTGTGAAACATAATTTACAGAAAAAGAACGAGTCTAAAGTTTGAATATATCAGATGAGAAGAACGTTGAATTGTGTAATCGAAAATTAAGGAAGTAGATAGCTTAAATTAGATATGTGATGCATCTAACTTTTTTTTCTATGTATAAGTACACGTTTCTATTTCTTTTTAATTCTAAAACACCAGCAATTTATTTCTATTATCTAAGATGAAGAAACACTTTCAACTCTCGTTTACCTTCTAGTTATCTTCATCATTTTTGTGTTAGATCAGTCAATAAATGTAGAATTGCTTTAATATGCTTTTTTGAAAAAAAAATATATTTGAATAACATAGTATTTTTTTCTCTAAAATACGAGTTTAACTAACTTATATAATTTTTATTAACTCTATACTAGCTAGTTCTACAAAATTGAGTTACAAATATTTTATGCTAGACGTAGGAAATTGATCCCGAAAGATATTTTTTAATTTTATTTACCTATTATGGTTAAGTTTTTTGTTTATAAAAAATATGGTCTTTTTGCATATGTACATATCAAAAGTGGCATTTTTTGCAATTACCCCTTATAAAAATTTTCGTGATATAAATTGGGTTCAATATGTTTCCATTTTTTTTAATGCCTTATGCCAGGTAGATAATTGCGTCAAACTATATATAATTTTAAAGTTTCGTTTATGATGCTCTAGAGTTTTTTCTATTAATTTATATTATATTTTTGAATTACATATATAATTTTTGGGGTTAAAATGTGATTGATGCTTAATGTTAAAAAATCAACGAATTCAATTTTTAATTAATATGAGTAAAACTTTTCAAAACATATATTTTCACGAGATGGAAAATTATTATTGTATACAGGTAAATTATTACAATTGAGATCTTATATTTTAATTGTAATAATTACAGGAATAAGAGAAAATGTTCAACAAGACGTTGTCATTCAATTCCATTTGAAAAACCAAAAAATGGGCTTTGTGAGTTTGGCAAGTTGTCAATCTTCATGTAAACAGAGGCTTAAAACAGGAGAGTCTTTGTGCACGCCTCCTAATGACCCCAAGAATTGTAATTGTTGTGGTATGTGGCCAATTAGTTACATGCCCACTGAAAAAGAACTGATATAAACTATTTAATTTTTAAAATTCGATACGCAATTTAAATTTCAAAACCTTATACGTGTTCTTTTTGCGTTAATTTTTTTTCACAGTTTAAATAAAAGCGATTAAGATTTATAAAAATGTATATCTTAATTCGAATATAATCAGTTGGTTATGGACTTTTGAGTCTTGTTGGGTTCCGTAAGTTGGTGAAGAAGAATACTACTAATTTGCGTTATTGAGTGGCGCGACTCAAGTTTAACTACGGACTAGATTTTGACCCACGTCAAGCGTGAGATTAAATAATTAAATATGTTTTAATCGGTTTTAGTATTTAAATATGTATGACAAAGTATATGATTTCTAATATTTATAAACTTACAAAAAACATATACATTGTGGATAACTGTAATAAAGTTAAATTTTGTCAGTATACAAAATTCAAGATTAGTTTTAATATTTTTTCTCTGCAAAATTAATCAAAACATATGAAAATATTATTTATTTTAATATATTTTAAGTATAAAATTAATTTTTATTATTCGTACAAATTATAGAGCATGTGATATTTAGAGTTATAGGAATCTGTCAGACAGAACGAACTAAAAACAATATATGTTTTACAATAATTGAATGTGAATATTTTTAAGCCTAGT